TTATTTAGATTTTTCTTTTTAAATCGATGCTGAAGGACAACTTAAACTAAAATATATGACAAATCTGTTGTTAACTTTCCATTCCTCAGTAGTAATTTTTAATCTCCTTAATCCGGTGGCGTTTACGTGTGTCAATCAATATGATATATAAGGATTGGTACACATCATAGTGATTTCAGCAACAGATGTATCCTTTTAGTTCAAATACTACTCAAGCAAGGTTATGAGGAAGAACGATTTAAATCACGCTAGGAGTTACATGGTCACCAAGAAATAACCATGACAAGGTAACAAATCCTCAACTCCCTATTGACAGTTACTCTGTCAAAGAATCCACATGACCACGGAGTCAGGGTCTTAGATTTGTCATGCTCCTGTCTTTGTGAATAAGGCTTCATAACTTGTAGACTGTTTTACATCGTCACCATGTAGTATATTGTTATCCCATAGTTATGTTTGCACGAGATCCTAGAAATTGTTAACTTGTTGGTTTCCAAATCATAACTCAATTATGCTTTTTGAGTTAGATCCTTATATCTTTGCAGCATGAAATGAAATACAAGACAAGTTTGATTTTAATTTTTTCAAAATATTGTTCTTGAGGTAGGTCCTTTAACTGTCTCAAAATTGGTTCGATTGATAAGTTCACTTTGCAGTTAGACCTTGTGGCATTTATAAGCATCATGATATTTAGGGATCTAGCAATTACCATGTTAGAGTTATGCCTTTTGAATTGCAGAAATGAATAAGGTCAGGTGTTTTTATGTCCATTAACTAAATTAATCGTTCTCTGTCGATCAAGGCGATTCTCATATTTTACACATGACTAAGGATTTTCTTTTCCAAGGAATAGATTACCTAAGCCGTATTTGGCACAACTTTTTGAAATTTTGGGTCCTCAATGCTCTTCAACTTTGTACTTGTTTGGCTTTATAACTATTTTGATCTGAGCGTCACTGATGAGTCTTATGAAGACGAAACGCGCGTCTGGCGTATTAAATTATAATCCTGGTACCTTTGATAACTATTAAGAGACTCATTTGATTCCTATTGAAACTTTTCACTATGTAATTTGATTCAACTGAACAGGAAAAAAGGACATAACCTATTATATGTTTAATCAAACAAGGTGAATAAGCATTTTTTATGGATTGGCACAGTTTCATTTTGCTAATTCCTTTTGTAAAATGTTAGCTTGTTTGTAATACAATAAAATATAGATTGCAATATCATCATAGTTTACATAGTACACTGTTTAGTTAAATCATCATATCAAAGGTCATGTAGACGTCTTTTTATTAGGTGATGATCAGAGTTTTTAAGTGTGTTCTTAAGGACTTCGATAAACGTTGGTCCACTTTAACTTACATATTCTAATGTAATTCCATCAAACGAGAAAGTAAATATAATATGGGGATATTGTAAAGTTTACCGAATCCCTTCAGATTCCACAAAATATTTGACTTTAAGTGCAGATTATCAGAACTGGACCACCTCGTTGAAAGAATAGTGATGCGTCTTCTTAAGGTCAAATATATGAATGCACAGAAGGATTTTTGTGCACTTGTTGACCATTCGCACTTGTCATTTTTAATTAATGTTTGTGTTATTTTAACCGAACAGGTGCAAGTTACTGTCGAGGGACACCAGGAAAGTTTATTTTACATAAGCAAATTGTACTTATCATGTCATTTTTCATATAATTTATAAATGAATTCAATGTTTAGAGTTCAACTACTAGTATATCATTGTTTCAACAATGTGAGTATTTTATTTCAGAAACCTAAAAAGTGCCGGAACACATTATTAATTACTATTGTATGAAACCACAATATTTAAATTGTCTACATAGAGGACAAGCAGTAAATAAAATACGTATTAAAAAATACATAACCCTACCTTAAAAGCATTCATTTTAATTCAACCAACGAACAATATTTGTTATCTTATAATTGAATTTATAAGATGCTTTTGCAAGTGAAAATGCATTTCCGTAGAGTATTTTATTCATTGTTAAACAGGATATATGGAACGAAATTAAAAAAAAATAATTGTCGGAGATTTGCTCATTTAATTAACCATATTTTTGAAAATATGAAGTAATATTCAAATAAAGCCATGGTCAGAAACTTAGTTCGACTTCGCCACCCCTGTGCATATGTACAAAAGCCGTTTCCATTCTCCAACTTAAAACGCCTTGGAGTTAAGGTATGACACTTGGCATAATTATTCATAACTAGAAGGTGTGTTATGGAGGAAAAGGATGTTGATGATCGCGATAAAAAAATATTGTTAAACTTAGGCAACCCCTGTGCATATAAGTGGAATAACCCTAATTGCATCCAAATTTACTTATTTACATGCAGCTTTGCCCTCCTCTGTGATGGCTCCCTTAGGGTCGTTACTATCCTCTAGTTTAAGACTAAAATGTTTTTGTCACTCAAAACAACAAAATGTGACAAGATACCCCATCGCATCTCAATAAAAACTTATTTGATATTTACGATAAAGATTAGATCCGTGAAAAATTATTGTATTTTAAACAAAAAGGTTCAAAAACATACACTTAATATTATGCAGTTTAATGCTTTCACAATCGATTATACAGAATTATTAATTCACAATCGAATATGCAGCATACAACATATGGTTATTAAGTTTGAATGAAATTGCAGTCAAAGAGGAATATGCATTTTCCCCTCAGTTTAAGGTTTGATATCATCATTATTCTCTTCTCTTTTTTTCGTATTTTTCCAGATTAATTCGGTCTAAATTATGATACTACAATTGAATGACAATTACAATCTAGTTAGTGACAGTTGTCCTGTCTCAGTAACCTTAGTATTACAATTTCTCATGGAAAGCTTCATATCAATATAAATGTGTATTGTCTGTGCCGGATGTATAAATACTCAGCCACGTAAGGTCGGAATGGCGACATAATATCCGATGCATCGTGTTGGAAGACTACTGCCAGGCTTTCTGAACTTAAAAAAAAACTTGCAACAACTCTCTGAGGGGTCCGTAGGTGGCCGGATATATCCAACATATCCTTATTTTCTAGTGACAGTTCAGTTCAATATTGCCGCCTTTACATACCAGTAGACCTACATCGCTTTTAAATTTCATTCTTTTGGTTATATTGTTCTCCCCTACCCCCCCCCTCTCCCTTCCTTAACACACACACCTACATGGGGCGGTGACAGCAGATCTATCATAGTCTTCATTTGTCTTTTTTAAATATTTTTAGACGTCCTTTTTAGCATATATGGTTGATATTCAAGTTCATTACCAAGTCAAAGGCTTTTTTTTTTGTTTGATTGAGTCTGACGCCTTTGTAAAGTACGTTTTACAAATTTTTTTAAAGACAAGATGAACTGTTAGAAATTTTATTTTCTCGCCATTAGATGATTAGTATTATTTTACTTACATCTTGTTAGTATTATTTTACTTACATCTTGTTAGTATTATTTTACTTACATCTTGTTACTACGATTTTACTTACATCTTGTTACTACGATTTTACTTACATCTTGTTACTATGATTTTCCTGTCATTAGTATTATTTTAAAAACAAACTGATCTATGAGCTATTGTTTTCTAATGATATTCCCGCTATTAATATTCGGTAATCAGGCAGTTGATGAGCGACTGAGATGAGCGATGAATTTGAAAATGCAAAATGAATTTAACCAATTTTGTTGAGTATTTATATGGACATTCTTATCCAAAACTCAAATCATGTATGAAGTAAAGCTATATTTTATCTTTCTAACACACCTTGTTTTACTTTAGTTAGTGACATCTTCCGATGCAAAATTATACAAAAAATACATTTTGTATCAAAATTTCCTTCAACGGGAACATGCAGTGTTAAATAACATTTAGATTTTATCGAATTTCCATAGGAAACAACAAACAGCGCATGGAATTGTTATAAAGTATCAACATTTCGTGCATATTTTTTGACTGGACTCGTCAAATTAACCATCAACATGTCCTCCGAAGAATACCGATGGGTATTTTATCCCTACAATAATATGAATAGACAGGCAATACTTCGTGCAACATTGTCCTTGTTTTGTTTGATTTCATATCATAGAAAAAAAATAATAATATAAATCATCGTTTTACCTGTATAAGAATAAATATTTTTTGTGTGACTCAAAACCAAAAAATAATTCGATGTTCAATCGATTTTCGACTGAAGTCACATCATAGGATCCAAATTCATTACCATAATGTATCATCGAAGATTTTTGATAATTTTGACAAAATAGAATCAAATTATTCGTTCTTGAAAATGTATGCAACATAACAAACTGTTTAATTTATTTTCATAAACTTCAATGAAATGATAAAAATAAGGAAAAGACGAACTTTAAATTTGAAAACTATAAGTGAGAAGATTTTACAGTACACCTGTACTGTATTTGCAGACAGATGTAATTCTCTTAGATGAGTGTAGACTGTTTGAATTACATTTAATAGGATCGTAATTGGTAAATTAAATATTTTTTTTTAAATATAATAACTGCATTTGATTGATAAGTCTGTCGTATATAATTTGTTTCTTTTATGTAATTTAATCATATTGCAAGGTCATATAGTGGGTTGTTTTTCCTAGAGCAATATTGTTTAAGGACAAAATGTTGATCAAAGCTTATTTATCTTGTTCTCGTCTTCAAAGTTAGAAATTTGCTGTTGGCGATTTGAGACTTTCAGTTGAAATTGCGTTATAATTTTAAAGTACATTTATTTGTATGTTATTCATAATTCAGTTTTATCTTTGACTAAAAATTACTATCTACTGGCTTTACTTATGTTACATTCAATTGATTAATAAGTAATGTGCATACATTTCAGGCAAAAAAAGCCTACCTGGAAAATAAAACATTTTATCATTTTCATTCATACTACAACAGATGTAAGGTAAATTACTTAGAATAAAATTAATATTTAAATAAACACCGCATGTTAGTTTCCTGTGTTTTGTAGTTTTTACATAGTATTGATTCGCAACTTTATCAATGAAATAAACAGCGTGGGAGATTCAGTTGAAACATCCAATGTACAAGCGTCTTGTCAGCGATCGGAAAACGCATTGGCTACCGCCTGTTCAATGTATCTCAGAATCACCACCACGGGCTGGAGTTAATGAATTGGAGGTGTGTTAACCTTTACCAAAGTTTTATGTCACAATGACATTCAAAATAAAAAAAATCATGAATGGAATTGTAAATGAATCATATAAAATTTAGCATCAGTGTCTGAGAGAATAGTTGTCCTGATATTAATGAGAGGAATCGAGTTGTTCTTGTATTTATGTAAGAGGGAAAACTCTATACACAGTTATCAGTTGTTAAATTGATCTGATTTCATATACTAGAAACTGATACCGTTATTGTATTTTGCAGTCGATGGATATAGCTATCTGCTAACGCTGTGGTAGTACTAACATTATGAAACAACTATGGTTCAGTTTATTTATATACTTTACCTGTATCTGTGGAGGTACTTTAACACGAACATGGTTTAGAGCCATGAACAAAAACTCTAAAAATTCTAATTCAACAACCGATGAACTATCGAGTCCATTTAAAGATTTCGGAAGAGAACTAGACGAGAAAATAGCTAAAACTAAGATCAAAATGAGAATGTGTGGCTACTTGAAGGAGTTATGCAAAACAACTATAGATAGAAAACCTCTCATCACAACCATAAACCCCAGGGAGACGACAACAAATTCTGCAACAGAACCAACATCATCTACTGCATCTAACATCAACATATCATTAGTTTTCTCAGAACCATCAGGTAAGCTGTTTACTTATTTAGTAGTACAAGAAAACTGCGTCTTTTGGACTTTGGTTGATGGCAATCTTTCGCAACGATATAGCCTTTTTGCGCTTATGTGGCGTAAAACAAACATCAATCAATCAATCAATTGTCAATCTTACCACATTTACTGTCCTTATTTTTATATTGTTTAATCAATCGTTCTTATATATTTTCACATAAGTGCAATGTCAGCACTATTAGAATGTTGTTGCCTTTGTTGATCATTGCACAAGTACATTGTTTTATAACTTGATCATGACATCATCACGGAAAGCTATTAGTGTCATTTAGATCGTGTAACTTTCTCTTATCAAATTCTATTATACAAACTTTCTTTATGTTGGCAATGTTCACGTTCTGGCTATTTCTATATTGAACACTTTTGTGAATAAGATTTCAATAACATGATAGGAGATAGGCTAGTGAAGTATTTCTTTTTATTAGTGTCATGCTATATCGAGTAAGCATTTAATATAGTCGTTTTGTAGTCTATATTTTTTTTTCTTCACTTTACTTGGTTTTTGTAAAAAAAAAGTCATATAACAGGAGTATGATCACATATCGTTGTTTATTTCCTTATCATCATGTATACTCATCGCCTTTGCAAAGAAACCTGCTTTCGTTTATTGTTGAATCTTGCATCGATGGTTTTTTTCTTCTGGTTTTTACCATTTGCAAAGAAGACAGTATGACAAGGCTACTCTTTAGTCCCTTGAATTCATCTATCAAATGAGATCCTTTAAATGTTCTGTTTGATAAAATTATCGATTGCTTTTTATTTTGCTTCTTATAGTTGCTTCAAGGTTTTAATCCCTTGTTTTAATGCAAAACTGCAAAACCTGCCAAATAACTCTCATTTTGAGAGCTTGTTATTGATCTGAGTCACAGCCTTACCCAGATGTCTTGTTCAGGTAAGCTCATATTGGTCAAATATATTTTTCGATACGGCCTTGCCTAACAATAATATTATTATATGTTTAATGGCCAATTTAAGTCAAATATGACAATTTTAATATGCTGATGACATCGCAGTGACATCTCGGCAGACATTTCTGTACTAAAAAGTTAAGATAATATATAATCATTACTCCTCCTTTTTACGTAAATATATACTGTTATTTTATTTTAACAGTCTTGCGGTCTAAACCATTTGAAACAGATCATAAAGCATGTCCGCGGACATAACGATCTCAACTTACTAACTTCCTTTGGTGTAAATCTGAAACTTTTAGTTCAATATACTTTTGTAATGTTTCACTTTTATGAAGAAATAGTAAAACAAGTACAATATATATAGAATTTAAAATACATTAATTTAAAAATTAATCGACAATTTAGTCATATCAAATACTTCTTTCAGAAAGGGGACTATTTGAAATTGTCATATGTACCCCTTTTATTTCTCTCAACCTCATCCTGGTACATAAAGTATGATATAAAAACTTCTTTTGCAGGTAAGTTATATTTGACCTTGAAAAATGTATGCCACATTCTTTCTGTAGCACAGTGTTACGATAAAATAATTACACCCGTTATAAGAACAGCCTGATTATATCATATAACTTTTCGCTTTAAATGTTATTGATCTATTTGTTTAAGCCATCGTGACGTCCGTTAAGTGTGGTTTGTGTTTAAACTGGGTCACATATCGACGCATAAAAAAACAAACCGGTTGGCATTGACATACAATATTAAGATTTGATAATTCTTTAGCTTAGTAAAACATGACAATTTTATATCAACACTTCTCAAACGAGTTATCGAAAAATAAAATCAGAAAATGCAAAAAAAAAGAAAATTCTATCCGCTTTTAGACTCAGACTTTAGAGACTTGATTATTTTTCATTTGTTTACCCACCTATCATAATTTAATGTGCAAGTCAAACTAGAAACGATACAATTTAATTGCTGTCATTTCAGTTGTTTCTTTGCATTTTTCGTTTTGGAAATGTGTATCTTCTACATCAACTGTTTATAAATATAAAACAGAGGTTAACGGATAATGAGACAGAAAACCAAATTTACAAAAATAAACAGTAAAGACATCTGGAGGTCAACGTATGACCTTGAGCAGTTTTTCTGATGCCAAGGTCTGGCATGGTACTCAAATACTTAATCCGACTGTTTTACTGTTTAGCATCTATTAAATAGTATTGCACAGCTGACATATAGCTACAGCAGTCGTAGCCACAGAAGCCTTGGAACGGACCTACCTATTCATAACTGAAGGGCTGTTATAAAATTTAAAACTATTCCGCTAGAGTTAAATGGCTATGTTTTTGTAAAATAATGGGTTATTTCGTGGTTTTTTTTCATTTAAGTTTTCGTTTAAATGTATAAAAATCGAAGTTCTCTAGGGCATGGTCCTTTAAAATTTTGGTGCGGTATGATTGCAATCAGATATAAAAGGTTGACGAATTTTTGTACCCTCATCATCTTTGGCATGCTAATTATAGCTACTATTGACTTGAATCGGGTTTCGTTTGTAAACGATACAGGGAATTAAAAAAAATTGTTACATTTTGCCTCGTAATTATTCAATTTGTCTGCAGATTATTTGTTCCTACATGTATAAGCTTTCAGACAGGTTAACCAATATAATTACAATTAATTTGCTACGCTTATTTCTAAATATGGACATAGAGTAATCAGATTGTGATATTGATGAATATCTGCATTATTCTCTATTGGGATTATGCATTCGTGTAATAACGGGTCGCCAGTTCGAGTAAAGTAAAATCTATGTCATTATTGGAATTAACAAATTGTCTCTCTGTTTCAATCGGTCACATATCCTGGTATGATAATCATTAATGGCAGTCCTTACAAAACAGTACTATATATAGTAGCTTATACTTTTTCTTGTATCGGTAACTTTGGATCGTTCTCTATTTATGATATGTGTAATTTGATTGATATATGTTGCTTTTTAACGTTCAGTGGCAAATAATTCATGCATATTTCGGAAGAGAACAAATTGACAATTTATACAATAAATATAGGATCTACAAAGTACATGTAGGTTGATTGGGATGAAGGGCGGGAAATATTTACTGTCACTGGAAAATAAGGGTAAGCTGGATATGGGGCAGAAATTATGCATTGCAAAAGGCCATCTATGGACCCTTGAACGAGTTGTTGCTAGGGTTCATTAACGTGCAGAGAGCGTTGCACTCTCCATGTGCATCGGATTTAACGTATTTATATCTAACTGCGTATTTATACATGCTACACAGCAAACTCGACGCCCCACTTGAGCAATTAAGGCTTTAACTGCCTGACGGGAGAATCTATTGATAACTATATTGCTATACCTCAGACAATTCTTGGAGTTGTATGAATTTTACTTCATCGATAGCCTTTTTTTGCATATGGTGATGCCCCAACATTCTTGCTTTGTCATAGATATGATTGATTATGTTTTTTTTTTTTTTGTTTTTTTTTTTTTGCACTGACAAATGATAAATGCATAAGACAGAAAAAAGTCATAATCATGGATAATTGAACTTTCGCTACGCGTACTTTAGAAGTTTGAAAGCAATATTGGAATAAGTGGTCTGATTTGGTATAATTTTTTTATTGTTTAACGTGTAATTTTCATTGGCATGTACTTCATGTAGAACAGGATAAAATTAATAAAACAGTAGTAGGTAGTAACTAAATCACTTATTCAAAGTGAGGAGATTGGGAACAGGCGGATATCACTGCCATTATAGAACACGGGTATATCGACTGTGGTCAGATATTAAGCTATACAACAGATCACCTATTGTCCCCGGATTCAGCGTAAGATTTGTTGCTCGGATTTCACTTAAAGACAGCGCTAGTTTTAACTACCAAGTGTCGCTGATCATACCAAATAAGACTGCATACATACATGTACATGCCATACAGACAAACATAGATAATCAATTGTATCGGAGTAACAAATCCCAGTCAGATCGTTATCAGCCCAAAATGCAATGATTTTTAACTGTCCGAATACTGACGCCGTGAGAAAACATACATATTTATGACTCATTTCAACTACCGAGTACACATGTTAACCATACTAAAGAATTAAGGTCAGCCACGAATTTCTACTTCTGGTTTTTGTCAGTATTAATTTATGTGTATTTCGTGTTGTATTGTATACACTATAGTAAATTTGACTTGCTCAAGGATAAATTTTTATATAACGTGTCTGTATGAGAGAAAATCTAATGATACATGTAACTGATATCCATCCTTCAAAAATTGATTTACTGCATAAAAAAAACGAAAAGGACGATTATAAATAAGCATAGCATGTGAGTGCACTGAAACGTAAAGGCATTTTTTCAATAATGAAACTAAAAATATTCAGTAATTGCAGACATTATTAGAATTAAAATTTTATTTCATGTACATGTTTTATAATATATATATATATATATATATAGATTGCCTAACAATGTAATTTTAACACACTATTTAGTATGTAAATATAAGAATGTTTAAAATATTTACAAAATGATGAAAATAAACGCAATATTTCGCTAGACTAACTAGCTTTATCAAGCGTGCATCTATCCAGGTGAAATCGGATGTAGATGATAAGAAACTTTTGCAGCTCAATGTATATGTTGCACTTGAATTTAGCTGCCTTGAAAATAATACATAATTTGGATGAAGTTCAAGATTTTTACAAAATTGGTAGTTGAAGTTAGCAACGTCCATTGGCCAATATTACAGGATAAAAAGGACGATATTGTGTACTAAGTTATTCTTTATCTTTCCTGTATCTTTTCTCATCTTTTTCGTTAAGACCATCAGGTTCTAAAGTGTGGAGTTGGTGGATCCAAAAATTTTCTCTTCTCCTTCTCGCCGTGGTGTCCCACTCGGTGTTGACTTCTATGATTTGGAAGGTAACATTATCAAAAGAATGTTTCGTTGAACGAAGATGTCTTGTGAGAGGACAGTTTTTGTTGGTTTTGTACCATGAACGATGGTTATTG